ATTTGTAGTTTTTTTTTTACCAAGAGTAAGATGAGAAGATTGACGCTGAATTTGACACTACAACCAGCAGCCTGTTAGCTTAGCGGGAAACAGCAGGAAACAGCTAGCCTAGCTCTGTCCAAAGGTACCAAAATCCACCAGCCAGCTCCTCTGACGCTCACTAAATAACACTTTGTATGCCATTTCTTTAATTTGTACGCAAAAAACCCCCAATGCGTAAAGTGTAGAAACCACATGTCCTGGTGCCTGTTTCCAGTCTTTTTGCTAAGCTAAGCTAAGCTGCTGCTGACAGTGGCGACATATTTACCTTACAAACATGAGAGTAAATGGTACCGATCTTCCCCTCTAACTCGTGCCTGGAAAGTCGATAAGCATATTTCCCAAAATGTCATGGTAGCAGCCTGTTAATCACAAGGTAGCCCGCCCTAATGCATACCCTGCTTTATGGACTATTTCACTCTAAATGGATCATAATTTACTAAATGAACATCATGCTGTATTGAAGAAGACTTGAAACTAGCAAATGAGACCATAAACTCATGTTTACAATGTTTACCGAGGTAATAAATCAACAAAGAAGTAGGATCATTTTCCCATAGATGTCTATACAATCAGTCGCCCCCTGACGCCCATTTGAAAGAATGATTCTGATTTTCAAGACCTGGTGGTTGCCGCCTGCTATGAACATACAAACTGTGAATGACTTCCTGCTCTGTGCAAAACAACCTGCAGATGATTGCACTATAATCGGCCGGTTTAAAGCAGTCGTTGAGTGAAGCAATTGGAAATTGCCAATGCTTTGATTTGTGTCTATCTCTCAGCACGTTTGTCTTACACCTCTTATTCTCCAAAATGTATTTGAGCTGAATACAAAATACTCCTTTTGTCTTGTGTTAAGTGTTGTCTTTATCTCACAGAAACTAACCCAGAACATTAATCCAGTCTCGTGTTCACCGTCTACCACTGCCGTGCCACGTTGGCCCACTGGCCGGCTGGGCTGCCTTTAGATCGCCCCGCAGCACTGGCTGAGCTCCAGCTGACGGGCAACGGCCTAGTGCTCTAATGACTCACAGATTGGAGCGCTGTGGTATACATGTGTCAGGACAATGCCACGGGCCTGCTGCAAAAACAGTAGGAGAGGGAGAGAAAGAGAGCCGGCGGCTTCTCCCTGTCCTGTCAGACAGAGCCTTGGCCCCTGGATTGTGTCACATCACGCCCCCCCCCCGACCGACCACAAATGAAGGATGTGAAGAGCAAACGTGGGGAGGAGGGGCCGCTCTGCAACTTAAAAGGCTTTCATCCTGTAAACTGAAAAGACATTATCTTTTGACCTGGAGATGCCCTCTGTGAGGCTGTACACTGTGGTGTGAAACAGAGAGAGAGAGAGAGACAGAGAGAGAGAGGGGAAGAAGAAAAAAAAAAAGTAGAAGAAAGAAGAAGTGAAGATTGTGGCTTCAACCAGTAATAGCACAGATAAGAGGATTGTCTGCTGGCATGGTTTTTGAAACATTATCAGTAGCTTCTCTGTGTCTGAAGAATAACATGTGATGCACCTTTGACATCAGGAAAATGTTCAACGCAACATTTATCTTCATCGGAGGAGAGTGAATGGTGTTTCTCATTTAAAAAAACAAAAAAAAGGCCAACACACAATTACAATGGACATAAAAAAACACAAAGAAACCCAAAGTGCAAAGATGCTCTTTTAGCTTCCGATGCTTTCCGACTTTCACTTCAAGACGGAATTTCAACGCTCTCAACAGCAAGTGAAGTGACGTTATCGTCTCCCCTCCTCTATACGCAGACAATCTGCTCTGAATCTGGCCATTCCTGGATTCCCATTACGTTCAGTGCAGACGCACTACAGACAGCAAACCCGTCAACGTCATTCGAGCAGCGTCCACGCAGCTGGCTGCTGGCCATACCTCACACCGTACCAGTGGCATGAATAATGAAGGCCTAATCTCAAGACACCGTCCTGGATGGGGAAAACGAGCACAATCTAGGCGTTATGCTGACAGCAAAGACGCCATGTTGACACAACATCTTCAGCCCAGCTGAACGCCATATAATCCCCTGTAGGAGGTTCGGAGCCCACCTGGGATCTCGTACGTCGAGGTTTGTAGTTAACCGAGCGACGCGGCAGAACGAGCTCCGATCCCCCCCCCCCCCTCCTCCTCCTCCCACCTCGGCGCTGGTGGACTATCAGCGAGGGTCCGACAGTGTTGTTCCTAATTACCTATTTCTCCACTCCTGATCCTGCGGCTGGCATAATTAGTTACCTGGGGCTGCAATCCAATTTGAAGTGATGACAAGAAAGTGATCCATGAAAAAGTAATAAGTTAAATCCAATTTCAGCCTGCCTCTAATTAAATGCACATGGAACTAATGAGTCAAACCCTACCATTTCACTGATAATGGTAATTAGCGGGGTGGGAGTCGCCCGGTCTCTCGTCGCTCCACGCGCCACCACCGTAGGTGTGAGGCGGCGAAAAAAAAGGTAAAAGCGGAATGGATTCTTTTAATCACACGTGTCATTCAGTCAATGTAATTTACTGGCTTTTTTGACCAGTCAAGTATGTTTAGCTGCTTTCCAGCCCGCGCGGCAGCTGTTTGTATGCTGAGGCCTGATTAAAGCGCCTCCAAGCTGCTGAGTGGAGGCATCTTCAGTCAGAGGCAGAGGTGGCCAGTATGTGTGGGTGTGTGGGGGGGGGGGGGGGCCCTGTTGGAGATATAAAACCAAAGAGCCATTTAATGCTGATCAAGGACCCTGAGGCTTGCTTGACTCATATTTGTCCCCCCTTTACTACTCTACACAGGTCTTTTTTTCTGTCTTTTTTTCTTGTGTTTTCTTTTCTTCAAATGTTCTGTATGTGCCGCGCTTCATTATTTTTGACTTGAATAAGAAGGAATTGGAAAGTGAGGCACATCTCCAAATGAGTGAAAGTCTCTCGGCGCATCTCCTCGTGCCTAATGGGAAGACCGCTGAGATGAATGGAGCCCGCATCCCCAGATCAGGTGCTTTTTATGGGGTGTCAGCTTACTACACAGCCTCGTAATTGTCGGACCATGTCTTTAGATGACCCGGTCCGGCTCAACGGAGAATCATTATCCGGGCTGCGTGATGGAGATGGTGAACGTTCTGTGTGAAGGGGGCTCCTCCAGGCACCAGAGTTTGTTCTTAAAAGAGGAAGTGAGATGAGACTCTAACCCTCTGGAGTTTCACAAAATGTGTTTGTGAGAGAGAGAGAGAGAGAGAGAGAGAGAGAGAGAGAGAGAGAGAGAGAGAGACACGGAGTGAGAAACGAGAGAAAACAAGAGAAACCTCGCCGACGAGAGGGAAGAAAGGAAAAAGAAAAAACACACAACAAAAACAAATGTAATACATCCTCCTCACGCTGATGTTTATGCATGAACTCCTGGCTGTAAGCTGTGTGCGTGTATGCGGTCGCCGTGTGTTTAATTAGCACAATATGTAATTCAGAGATAAACAAACACTTGTCCGGACCTGTGGCTTTTTTCACAATGGCAGCTTCAACCCGGCAAAACGAAACATATACGACATTAAGAGAGCAGACAATTTACGGCGTCGGTTAGATACCACGGCGAGCTGTGTGCTCTCTTCACAAGAGGCGGGCAGGGGAGGGGAGAGGAAGCGGGGGAAAGGGCCCGACTCTCTTTTCAATAGCTGAGTGACAGCTTGGCCGAGCTCTCTGTATACATTAATAAATTAGAATTTTAATTTTGTCTTTGTCTGCAGGAGATGGTCTAGTACTTCACTATGTACCAACAACTGGCTGTACGCTGGAATCGGCCGCCGTGGTCCCCTCTGTTGACCTCTGCAGCACAATTCCCCGGCAGGCCAAGGAAACAGTTTAGTCTGATCCTTTCAACTTATTTGAATCCTGACAAATATGCGCACAACTGAAAGGTCATCACAGTCATACTTCATCCTCTGGAGCTATTTCCGAAGACATCTGCACAACAAAGAGGCTTTTGCGCAACCTGACATTAGACCTAGCTGCTACAATATCTCATTAAAAAGGAGCCCCAATGGGATAGTAAGAGTATTAAATATTATATATATATATATACACACACACAGAGAGAGAGAGCAGGGCCTCCGTATTAATTACCAAATATGCCCTGAAGTCGTTTGCGATTTCACACCGACACAAACAACCGCTGCTTGTTCAAACACAAAGACGTACATCTCCGAGGCAGCCGATCCGAAATTACTGTAAATATCGCATCAGATATTCACAATACAAGTTTTGTTTTTTTCATGCTGTTTTTTGTCTTCGCATCACAAAAGCCTTCCAAATCCTCTCTCTACTTCACCTCCAAGCCCTCCACCTGGATTACCCACCACACCCACCCACCCACCGGTGGGCTGCTCCACGAGAGTGTGAGTGTGTGTGTGTGTGTGTGTGTGTAGAGCAGTGATGAAAGGCAAACAGAGAAAGCATGGAGTTTCCTCTGCTTCACCGGACTCGCATCTCCGTGGGAGGAACTTTCTCCTGCTTTCACCTCCTAAACTAAGTGCAGTCAGTGAGAGAAAAAAAAAAAGAGGCATTTTTCCACAAACAGAAGTCAGGATCAGCCACAAATCATGCTGATGTGTGTCACTGCACTGGAATGACTCTGGATGAGGTCAACTGGCCACACAGAACATTTCTGGCCTATATATCTCATGCCTACATACCACTGGATGGTTGATTGTGTGTGTGTGTGTGTGTGTGTGTGTGTGTGTTGCTAAATCACACATAATACGTGAGGATTGCAAATGTTGCACTGCCGATTTTAATTTCCTGTTTGTTCCCCAGCGAAGCGCTTTTTCTCGCACATTGTGTTCTAGATCGAGTTGCACAAGTTCCCCTCTTTTCTTACTTTTTTTTTTCTTTTCTTTTTGTTTTTTGTAATTTCATCAACCACAAAGTCAAATAAGCGAGCCATCAGATTATCATCACGGGTAAATAAATAAGAGTGTCTGACGGTACCTGGAGGCTTTGCTGCTTGTCGTTGGCTTTGGGGGACTTGCGGCCAGTGTTTTGTTGCTGCTGCTGCTGCTGCTGCTGGAGGAGTATCTGCCGTGCCACTTGGAGAGCCTAATAAAGAGAAATGCATAAAGAGATTTTTTTTAAAAAAAACAATCCAATAGAAATGCTAGAAGTAGATATGCTAAAAGTCCCTTGAGGACACTTTGATGCTTATCGTCTGAGCAGATGTATCCACTTACAACAATATCCCCTTGGCCTCCTGATAGACAACAAACAAACATTACAGAGCATCTTTTCATACTCCATTCACAGTCATAAATCTAAGGCTGGCATGAACGATGCCTCCACAAACACACCGGGAACAATGATCACATGACAAAACTAATTCACAGAGAGAAAGAAGAAGGCACAAACAAACAAAAACAAAAAAGCCAGCCAGAAGAAATATTTATCTGTTGATAAGATGCACTCTTAAACACCGGCGGTCAGAGGCACTATCAGCGTCTTTTGATCCTGAGTCAAACTCCCCAAATAAAAGGCTTTACGGCCGCTCCGAATATCTGTTAAAGGACACGGCCTTCTCAGTGGAAAACAAAATACAGTGCAGTCACATGTTTATTGCTCCAGCTACTCCCTTTTCCCTCGCGATAAATAATCAAACATGCCATCCAGAACAAACAAAGCTGGAGAGAGAGAGCCGAGGGGAGGGGGGGGGGGGGGGGAACACAGCAGTCTTGAAAAACGGTCAGCGATACCAAGAAAAGCAAGCGCTACGTTCCCACAGTGAGCTGGCCAGCCTCACACCTCCACCAGTAAACCATCTGGGTAAATAACTGGCCTCATTCTTTCCATGTTCCTCAGACGATCGCCGCCGCAATTAAACAAACAGCCGGGGAACATCCGAGCTCGTCTTGCGATCTGGAGGGTTTCCCCGGTCAATTATTTGAGGGGTTCAGGAATTAGTCAAAGTAAACGGTGGAATGTTTAACGGAAAAGATAGCGAGAGAGAGACAGAGAGAGAGAGAGAGATAGGAAAAAGTTGAGAGCGACGTGTGAACAAGGGAGGGAAAGCTGAGAACGATTGTGTGAAAGTAAGATATCTGCAGGGAAAGGGCAAACAGAAAGCTCTGTGGACGGATGAAAAGACAGAGATAACTTGGTCTTAGTGCCTGTAAAGTCTGACGATACTTTAAGACAGAAAGGCCAGAGACGGTTAGCGGTTGGAGCGAACAGCTGTATGATGATCTGTGTGTGTGTGTGTTGACCCTCCCAAACAGGCTGTCGGATGACATCATGAGGCATAAATATGACCGCAGGCTACAAAGAGGCCACACTGCTGGCATTTCACCACGCTCAACTTTAAAGTGCATAACTTGTCCCTCTCTCTGTCCGTGTCGGAGCTCTCACGTAAAGATAAACGACGCCGGAGCAACATATATCTCATTCTGCATGCCTAATTGTCCTCTCCTTTGAAATTTGTGTTGGGGGGAACCCCCCCCCAACCTCCCCGGCCGGCGAGTACACTCATAAGGAAAGTGTTCACTCCCACACGGTCGTAATATTTACATCTTACAGTTCAGGCATTTAGCTTTTACTCCGGAGGAACTGACAATCAGGGTGAAGAATCTGATTTAAAAAAAACACACGACGTGAAATGAGCCGACGCGGTGAAGGGATCGGAAAACTTCTAAACTTATCAAACACAGATCAATGTTTTAAAATGGTGAAAAATGTTATTGAAAGTCTTCAAAATAAATCAGTTGATTAAATACTGACCTTGTTTTTCCTCAATAAAACAAATTAATTAAGAACAAACCTAAAAAATATGATTGACTGATTGAAGCATCAAAACATAATATCAAAGTCACCAGCTTTTAAAACAATATTCATACTTCACCTTCTTGCGAGACATTGGAATTGAAATTGGGCCAGGGGAGTAAAGGGGAGTAAAGGGGAGTAAAGGGGGTTTAATCCCACCGGACGCTAGTCCGCCTTTATCTTAGTGGTGGTGACGTGAAGTCATGTGACCGTGGTGTAGTTTGTTTATATCCTAATGTTAGTATCTACAGTGGGTCCGGGCCAACCCGGATGTTAGCCTCACACTGGTTCCCTCAACAAAAATCCAATGGGATTACTTCTTTGGATTATAGCAGATAAAAACGTCTGTGGAAATATCAAGTTTATGATACTTAGGTAATATACAGTGGGTACGGAAAGTATTCAGACCCCTTTTAAATTTTTCACTCTTTGTTTCATTGCAGCCATTTGCTAAAATCAAAAAAGTTCATTTTATTT